TGGCTGCACCCAAGGCCAACACTACAGTACAAGAGTCACCCTGTCCCTTGATACAGGCAACTTCTAAGAACCCAATCTGGATATGATTTCATAATTTTATAAACAGATTTTGGTAGATAGAACATCCTAAAATACGTGAGCTTTTTTTTTTTAGGATGAACATTATTTATTTATTTATTTATTTATTTTATTATTATTATTTTTTTAATCCTCACCCGAGGACACTTTTCCATCTTTTGCACAGACAGAGTGGGAGGGAGAGAGAGAGGAAGAGAGAGAGGGGGAAACATCGACGCGAAAGGGACACATCGAGTGGCTGCCACCCGCACGACCAACCAGGGCCGGGGACAAACCGCAACCAAGGTACATGCCCTTAGCGGGAACCGAACCCGGGTCTCTCCGGACCGCAGGTGGATGCTCCAACCGCTGAGCCAAACCGGCCAGGGCATAGGATGAACATTTTTGAATGACATATAAATGCTCTTAAACCTTGTATAATCATTTTCTACTTTATTCTCATAAATTAATTTTTAATCCCTCCTCCAACTTCTTTTTCTACCCTCCTCTCTTGAAGTTCTACATTCACTGTAACAATGGGCTAGGGTCCTCCACGCACCCCAAGTGCAGTCTGAAGTGGGCATGGACATCACTCCACTGTGCAACTTCCCCTTCACTGCAGGCCGGGTACGAGTGCAATGGATGCTGGTTCCCTTTCCCTGACCACTTTCCATCCAGTTACGCAGAGGCACCATCTAGTTCCAGCATCGTGGGAAGTCAGGTACAAGTCTTCTCTGAGTGAGTAGGGTTCTGCTCCTTTTGTCCCAAGTCATACTTTGAGATCGAAGGTCTCCCTAGTATTCTTTCATTCAATCTATCCTAGCAGCAGCTCCTGCCAAAAATGTGTAGTTGCATTTAGCAATGAAAAATATGCCTAACACATAAAAATAGAGATGTAAACAAAGAGTGTTTTGGCATTACATCCCTTAACTTTACACATATCCGCACTAATGAACTCCAGCGATATTTCTAGGGACAGGCTTGTCTTCGGATGTGATGGTAGAGCAGTTAGTTAGTGTGTGTCCTTTTCAATCAATTTTCTGTGCGGCATGATACTTTACCACTTAAAAGCTATGTCATCCATGTGGCTAAAGCTAGAAAGTCCCGGGGCTTGCTGTCTATTCCCAGATGGAAGTTTTTATAGAGATAACCATTTTCTTATCAATTTATCTTCCAAAGTGATTACTATCACACTAATCCATTTGTAATGACTTTACCAAGGTTGCAACCTTCAATAATGAAATCAGATACAGTATTGAACACTGTGTGGATTGCTTAACCAATCTCAATTCATCTCGGATCAATGAAACACAAAACCAAAATGAAGTCAAGTGCTGCTTCATTAGTTATCCTCACTCAGAGGGGCTGAGTAATCACATTTAACTGGACACGGGGAAAGCCAGGAGGTGCCCCATAAAATAGAAGCAGCTGTGGCCTATGGAGAAATGCTATTGCAGATAATTCTATAGAGAGGTGGTCTGTAAGCAATGACCAGGTGCATCAGAAAATAATAAGCTGAAGATGGTAGGTGAGGTTATGATGCAGTAAGTATGGCCAATTCTACCGACTGCCTGCCCAACATCATTCCCAAGACCTCTTGCTACTAGACCCCAAGTGTTGATCAGTGGGCAATTATCTCTGCTTGAAGTACCAGCTTCTAGTGCCGTTTTTTTGCCTCTTTGATTCAACATATATGTTTTCACTTTTTGTGACATTTTCAAGAAAGACTAATTCCACCTTTGTTGTCACACAGAACATGTTATTCTGTGTTTTCTTCTCTGTGGTCTGATGTCATCCAAAGGAAGAACAGTCAAGGTCTATGCCCTGAGCCACTTCTAATCTCTCTCCCCAGTCAACGCAAGACACAGCGCAACTGCAGGCGAAACCAATCTTATTCTTCAAGATGGATGATAAATAAATGGTTAAAAAAAGATCTCGATAAAACGGCAGACACGATTTATTCTTAAAATTATTTAGGTATGCACATTGTCTGATTCTATTTATATAAAGTTCTAAAAGATGAAAGAAAATGTATGGAACAGAAAGCAGGTCAGTGGTTGCCTAGGGACAGGGGTGGGGGAAGTAGTGTGGATGCTGGAGGATGAAGGCATGGCAAACTCTTAGCGGTGACACATCTTCATCATCTCGATTGTGGTGATGGTGTCACAAGTATGTATGTATGTGTGTGTGTGTGTGTGTGTGTGTGTATATACATACTGATTACATTGCACACTTAAGTATGTGCAGTTTATTCTACGTAAGTCATACCTCAAAAAACATTAAATTTTAAAACATTATTTAGATATAAAAATTTACTCTTAATATGTTATTTGGAGGAAAAAGTACAGAATAGCATGCAAAATATGGTTTTGTTAAAAAATGTACTCATGATAGATGGCTGAAAAAATACCATAAATTGTTAGCAGTGCTTGCTCTTGCAAGATAAATTTAAGAAACACTTTTTGTTTTTAATGATGCCTTATTCAGTTTCACAAATATTTACTGAGCACACACAATGCACTCTGAACTTAGCAATAGGGCTGGGGAATGTAGTAGGTAAAATCCAGACACTCTCTTGCTCTTCCAAATTTACCTTCTCCAGCAAATAAGAATGGCAAACGAGCCCAGCTGGTGTGGTTCAGTAGAATGAGCTTCATCCCATGGACTGAGAGGTACAGGTTGGATTTCCTGTCAAGGCACATGCCCAGGTTATGGGCTTGATCCCCAGTAGAGGGCGTGCAGGAGGCAGCTGATTGATGTTTCTATGTTTCTCTCCCTCTCTCTCTCTCAAAAATCAATAAAAATATACTTAAAAAAAAAAAAAAGAATGGCAAATGATGTTGGTCACAGAGGGAAAAACAGGATGGACTGATTGAGAATTGAGAGGGGTCTTTCTAAAATGGTGATATTTGAACTGAGACCAGGTTGACCAGAAGGAGCCTTCATGAAACACATCTGGTAGAGGATTTTGTAGGCTCTAGTGGGAAGTTTCTATTTTGTTCCAGGTGCAAGGGGAAGCCCATGGAGAATCCTTTGCCAAGGGGTGGAGTGACGTGGCATTTTGAGAAGACTACTTTGGCTGCAATTCGGACCATGAGGCTGAGGGAAAGGCAGCAGAGGGGAGGAGGCTGTTGCAATGATGCAGGTAAGAGGGGGCGGTGGCTTGAACTGCGACTGGCACGTGATGGAGAGCAGATGGACTGAGACGTGTTCCAGGTAGAGCTCACCTGACTTACTGATAGACTTTATTATGTATGCCTTTCTGTATGCAAATATAATATTTTCTTCAGTTGGAAGATATTTATTTTATTATAAGAAACATAGAAGGCTAAAAAGGTTTGTTTACTTACTATATTTTTGAAAGAAAAAATACCTTAAGAAAAATGGGAAAACAGTGAATTTTAACACTGTATTTTCTTTGAAAGTACTGAATTTTATCTCATTGGATTTTCAATATTAAAATAAGTTTTTTGAAAGGATCATTACTTTTTAATCTTCCAAGAAAGTTATCTTTGAGCTGTGGTCAAATGACTCTTCATTTTCTAAAAGGCTGGTTGAAGTATTTGCTAAAAGTTCAATTCCTACATATGCGCCTGAGACATACCAGGTACCCTTTTTCAAGTCTTCTAAAATACATTTCTCAATTCCTATATATGAATCTAATTCTGCACACAAAAAACTTATTTTAGGATATTTTACTTAACACATATCTACTATTCTTCTACCCATGATCTTAAAATCTGCTGTCATGTACCACATATGATTTAGCCAGACCATTTATATATTTATGGAAATATCACTAATACAGCTTGGAGAGATTAGCAAACTACAGCTTGCAGTCTATATTTGTGTCCCTTGAGATACTTTTTTGCATTTTTAGAGTTGTTAAAAAAGTAAAAAAACACCTTTAAATCTATACCATCTGGCTAATACCACTGTAGAAAAATGGCCAGACCAAACTAGTAAGCTAAATGAGTTTAATATAGATAAAATTATGACTCTTAAGTGCAATTGGTAATGCACACCGATGATTTAACTAACCAACTTGCCCGGGTGGGAGAAATAAAGGGAGATCAAGAGCATTGAATATAACAGGTATTTCCGAAATGCTTAAAAGCAACTGTGCCCACTCAGTCCAAAGCAGAATCATCACCAGGACCTCCTTGTTACGGTTTCATGGCCAAGTCTGTATCCCCCGAGTTTCAGTTAAATTTTATAATCATTGTGTGCAGAACCTGATTTGCTTATTTTGATGATTTTAACATCATGGCTTCCTCTCTTTTACTAGGCACATCAGGAAATACATTTATCAGCAATTCAGTAGTTGCACTCAGTTTAATACAACTCAGTAGTTTAGAGAGTAGGCAGATAAAATTACCCATGGCATCAAGTTGCTGAATTTCATTAATTGCTCTAATCAATGCACATGAAGCAAATGATGCTTTGGGGGAACTTTCCTCTTATTCTCTGCTGCAGGTGGACACGAAGCAATCCAAGCAAAGCAAATGTAGTAATAATCCCCTCCAACCAGCAAATTCCACCACCCACTGAAAAAGTAAAAATAGAAACGAAAGAAACAAATACCAGTCAAAAAACCCACTCATAAACAAAACTTAATTTTGATAATATTGGTTCATAAAAGCCAGGTATCTGGGAATCGCTCTATCGTGGCAAAGAGAAAGAGGGAGAGAGAAACTTAGGGATGACACTGGTTAACAGAAAAGCTTGGGAATTACGTTCTGAGCGGAAATCCTGCGGCTTTGGACTCGCTACTTTTCCGAGCCTCGGTTCTTTCACTGAGCTGTGAGCACACTCAGACTTTAGACTTCAATGCATCTCATTACCTGGACTATTACCCCTTTATACTCAGCTGAGGCCCAGGCAGATTTCCCGGGGTTTAGATTCCAGAGGAGCACAGAGTCCTTCTCTCGGCAGGAACTTACCGGCCGGGACTGGATTTCTTTGGCGTAGAGAGGTTGCAAGAATTCTGAGTCTCCTTCTAGCTTCAGGCCCTTGTCTGTGATTCTCAGGTTTCCCATTCCGTCCTGAAAGAGAGGCAGACATGGCATGAAACATGCAGTGAGTCAGCACTTCAGAACACCTCGGACTTTCAAACATTGAAACCAAGGTACTGCCCAGCCCCAGCCCTTTCTTGGAGAGAGTAGAAGGAGGGAGCGTTGGGGCCAAACGAATACATAAACTACTAGGAGGCAGGGTCCAATGCAGTTACGCCTACTGTGCTGTTTGCTACTTATTCTACGGAAATTCTACCCCAAGCAGCCCGTCCGCCCCCGTCATCCGCTTGCCCAGATGGAGGAGCCTCTTTCGCTAGGCAGGGCAGAGAGGCTGGAGGCAGGGGTGAGTGGGCAGAGAGAAAAGGTGTTTCCCCAGGTTAACACCAAAGATCCTTTTTTTTCTGAAACTCTATGCAGGAATCACAAAGTGGCCATCTGTTGGTCAAATCTAGCCTTCGGACATGGTGTGTTTGGCTCACAACACATTTAAGAAGTCAAACCAGTTACTAACATTTTCACTAATAGTTTATTATAGAAACATTAAAATACATACAAAAGTAGGAAGAATAAAAAGCAAATATTTATGTACCTTTCATATAATATCTTCAACAATTGTCCATTTATGTCTCTTGTTACCTGTTACACCCACCATACTGCCCCTCCTTTGCTTAAAATTAACCATAATACAATTACCATGCTGAAAAAAAAAAATGCGTACTATCATCAAATACCCAATGTCAATGTTTGGATTTCATTAAAAGTTATTTTACCTATTTTATTTATTTGAATCAAGTTCTACACAGCAATTGGTTAATATATGCAATACTAGGTCATCTAAATTTTCCTAAGTCAGTCAATTTCCCTCTTATAAATACATACCTAAACACACACACACCATGTATTTGATTTTATAAATAAAACCTGTGATTTTTCTAACAGCATTGCCCCAAGTTTAGATTTCGCTGAACACTGCCATAATTTCATATAATGTGTTCCTGTGTGCCCCCAGTTTCAATAAACTGGCAGTTAAATCAAGAGGTTTGATCAGATTCAGACTCAGTTTTCTAGAAAGAATCCATCCCAGGAAATGGACTGTATTAGTTTTCTATTGCTACCGTAACAAAAACCCACAAACTCCGTGTCTTAGGATAACACACACGTAGTAGTATCTTACGGTTCTGCATGTTAGAAGTCGGACGCGGCTCTCAAAGGCCTAAAGCAAGGTGTCAGCAAGCTGCTGCCTGTCTTTCTGGAGGTTCTAGGGGAGACCCCATCCCTCGACTTCTTCCAGCTTCTCTAGGCTGCCGTGTCCCTGGGCTGGTGGCCCCCTCCACCTCCAAAGTCAGCAATGGCTGGCTGAGTCTTTCTCACATCCGGTCACTCTGACAAGTCTGCCTCCCTCTTCCACACCCAGATAGTCCAGGATCATCTTCCTACTTTAAGATCACCTTATTAGCAACCATGTTTCACCTGCAGTCTTAATCCCCTTTTGCCGTCTAATTTACCATCTTCATGGGTTCGAGATTAGGGCATTGACATCTTGGAAGTGGAGGGCGTCTTTCTGCCCACCACATGTGGTACTGCTCTCTCAAGAGGCAGATGGTGTTTTTTGCCGTGTTGTCATTAGCCATTGGTGCTCTTCACCTGGCGGATCTGTTATCCCTAGAGATTTACAATTGGTGATAAAATAATTCTATTATTTCTTCTGAATTTATTAGCTGGGGTATTCTAGGAAGAGAAATTGCATGTCATCAACCACACATTTACACTAAATTATGGTTTATATAAAAACTTGATAGATGCTTGATTTTTTTTCCTCCTATATTTATTGATCTCCTAAAAATATTGACGTGACTACCTAATATCCTCCAAAGATGACCAATGGAATTTTTGTTTCACTCCAGGGCAGTCTTTACCCTATTGATGTTCTCCCTGTCCTATCCCTGTTCAGTAGGGGTCTCTGCAAGTTCACTCCTAAGTCCTTGTAATAGGACTTGGCAGTCTTTTTCTTTTCTTTTTATCCTCACCCGAGGACACTTTGTATTTATCTTCAGATAGAGCAGGAAGGAGAGAGGGAAGAAGAGAGAGAGAAACATCGATGGGAAAGAGACACATCGACCCGTCGCCACCCACACGACTCCAACCAGGGCCGGGGACAAACTGCAACTGAGGTACGTGCCCTTAGCAGGAACCGAACCCGGGTCTCTCCAGTCCACAGGCCGATGCTCTAACTGCTGAGCCAAACCGGCCAGGGCAGGACTCGGCAGTCTTTAGTGGCCCATAGCTTCTGGTATGACAAGCTGTTCAGGGTTATCTTACACACGTGCTGCTCCAAGCTTGGAAGCAGCCATTTCTAGAAAAAAGCTCTGGTTCATTTTGGTGGAAACTGGCGTTTGGAGATGACAAGCTGGGAGCGATGCGTGCTCACTGCTACTGAGTTAGCCTTTGTAAGTTGTGTTCTAAACAGAAAAGACCATGAGTTGACACAAACCTTCAGTTCAAACTCAGGACTTGAAGGTTTTCACTTAACGTCATGGATCGTGCAATGTTACTACCTTTATTCCCCACGAAAAACCCGTGTTCTCGAGACCGCCACCGCGATCCTTCGTTTGATGTAGCCCACAGTGCGCACGGAACAGTTTTAGAACACGAATGACGTTATCACAGTAACTCTATAATTAAGGAAAACAATTTAAAATTTGTCTTTAAAAAGCATTTAAAGGATATCCTACTAGGGCAGTTCAGGCAAATTCCTGGGTTTCACAGTCCCGGGCAATCATTCTGTTCTGTGCGGTTCTGCCACCGACCTGATGTCCAGTAAGGTTCAATCGTTTCTCCCCACCCCGCTTCAATTTTTCGTGACTGCTTTTTAAAAATCTAAGTTTGTTTTATGGATTTGTAAACTATATAGCACCAAAGTCAACTCTGCAAAACAAGACAGTGTCAAAGAAATCCAGCGTCTTCTCTCGTCCTTCCTCCAGGTTTTCGTGCTCAGTCCAGGTTCTCCAGAGAAACGGAGCCGACAGGACGTGTCTGTGGACGTACACGCTCTCTCACACACACAGACTCTCTCTCTCATTAATTTATTTTAAGGAATTGGCTTATGAAATTATGGAGGCAGACAAGTTCCCATGTCTGTAGGCAGCAAGCTGCAGACTTATCTTAAGAAAAATCACACACACACACACACACACACACACACTTTAAAAAAAATGTACGGCCCGGCCGGTGTGGCTCAGTGGTTGAGCAGGGACCCATGTACCAAGAGGTCACCAGTTTGATTCCAGGTCAGGGCACATGCCCGGGTTGTGGGCCCAATCCCCAGGGGGGGCGTGCAGGAGGCGGCTAATCCATATTCTCTGTCATCAATATTTCTATCTCTCTCTCCCTCTCCCTTCCGCTCTCTCTAAAATCTTTAAAGAAAAAAACCAATAAAATGAAAAATGTATTCTTCCATTTTGCCAATAACATTAGGAAGCAGAATGGTTTGAATAAAAGAGTCCAGATTCCCAGCTCCTCGTGGGAACTGGAATTCCTGGCGAGTCCGAGCCGCCTGCACCGCCAGCTGGGTTCCTCCCTGCCTGGACCGTGCCCTCCAGCCCACCGGTCTCCCGGCCCGTTGTGCTCGCTCTGCTCAGATCCTGCAGTTTCTCACTCGAATCTACCTGGCACTGCCATGTGCCCGCACCAGTACTTCCAGTCCAGACACTGCACGGGGTGCTGGTGCTGGTGCACGACTCGCAAAAAAGGGGCTCCTTCCCCATCCCTCCTCCACAACAGCATTTCAGCCCGTGGATGCAAATACCTCTTCCAGGGTGATACTGTTCTTCTATGGGTGGCATGCCATCTGTGTGTTTCTATTTTTGGTACTCTAGGGTACAGTTCTGCCAAGCGCTCCCCAGACGGGGCATTTCAAACCCAGTGTGAGAGGCAACAGGCTGACGGCATGTTCATGTCACACCAGCAGCAGGGAGAATCCTCAACAAAAAGAGAAAAAGAAAAGCGAATATTCATCCAAATGTTTCTCCTTCTCCTCTTACAGTGTATGCATAGATCCTCTATCCTTCCCATTTATTGATGACTCACTGTAAGCCAATTACAATACTCTATGTTTTTCATATTTAGTATCTCACTGCCTTTATTATTACTGAAAACTACCATGTTATTTCCTGAATTTAATTATAGGGAAATAATCAAATAAATGTGAAAGTATTTGGCTATAGAGTTGTCAGTTATAAAAGGGGAAAAAAAAACTTAAACACTATCTAAAAGTTTCATGTTAAAAGGGTAACAGAATATGCTATAATAGAATAGAATACTATGTAGCTCTTGCAAAGAAAGATTTAAGAACATGGGTAAATGTTCATAATCCATTAAGTGAAATGACCAATTAAATAAAAAATGTATATTTCTACAACAGATATACATTCGTAGATATATAAACATTAATTATATGTGTACATAACAGGACATTTATAGAAGAAAATATACTGAAATGTTAATATTGAATATCTTTGTATGCCCAGGATATAAGTGTTTTTTTCTTTTACTTATCTGCAACTACTAATTTCTATAAATACCAATTATAATTTTAAAAGCCCTTAAGTTAGAAAAAATAAAGTTCTCATCACTGATTTATTTTTAAAATCAACATTTATCAAGAACCTACACTGTCTTATATGAAGTGCTATATATATGATCTCATGTTGTCTTCTCAATGATCCTATGAGACAGGCATTAATTTTCTTATTTTACATATGAGAACATTTACTGGCAAGTAACTTTCACCAAATCACATAGCTAATTAATGACATACTCAAGAATTTGAACCGAAGTCTTTCTATTTCCTCTAGATTATATACTCTTAGGCATTATTCAGACCAGACCGAAGTATACAAAAGTCATGTCTTTGGGCCATCTTCAACCTCAAGACTTACACCATCCATTCTTATAATGGAATACCTTTATTCCACCTTCCCAGGGTCTAGAGGCTCCTTATTATGACCCAACTGCCCCCCATGCCG